ATAGACATTTTAATGAAAAAAGCATCCATATTATGCATTTAATATTATGATTCATTCATTTCCCTTCAGTTTATTCTCTATTTCAGAGGTCGCCACAGTGTAATAAACCGCCAACTATTCCAGCATACGCTTTACTTAGCGGATATCTTCCAGCTGCAACCCAGTATTAGAAAACACTCATACTGTACACACTCAGTTACACACTAATACACTACGGACAATTCAGTTCACCCAATTCACCTATAGTGCATGTCTTTGGACTGTGGGGGAAACTGGAGCACCTGGAGGAAACCCAAGCCAACACGGGGACAACATGTAATCTCCACACAGAAATGCCAGGTCCAGCCGGGACTCGAACCAGCGACCTTCTTGCTGTGAGGTGACAGTGCTAACTACTGGGCCACCGTGGCACCCAATATTATTATTATTATTATCAATATTGTGCTGATTAATGTTTTCTCTTCACAAAAACAGGAAGAAAAGTAAATGCAATTAAAAGGCCAAAATTTAGGTGATCCTGTATAATGTTCCAGTGTCATTCAGCATACGTGAATACTGCACCAGCTGTGTCCAAACCATTTAAACAAACTGTCATGACTCCATGATCAATAGTAATCCATTCAAAATATCAACAAATTCCATTCACCCAGTTATTTCATCATCATAATAAAAAAAAGAGTGAGCATATGACAGCACCTGTGTGAGCCAGTACAGAGCCTCAACCGGAGATCCACCATTACAGCCCTGGTTTTGATAAGAACAGTCTATAACCTGCTGAACACTGAGCTGCTGTAGTTTCTCTCCACCTTTAGCAGACACTGATTCAATGGCCTCTACGATACTGAAGGCCCAGCATCCTCCACACTAAAAGAAAGTGCAAGAGGAAAATTATCTCTGAGACAATTCTTACTTGAGTTAACGTTGAATGGAAAAGAAAATAGCCTGATCTTAACATCTCCACCTTACCGATCCCTGATTATGGACTGGTCCGACAACTCCATGGTCCCTCCAATCAAACCTGGGTGGATTATTCGCTTTAACTTTAATTTCAGACTTGGACTGGTCAAACTTTGGAGCTGCCTCAGCCCTAGCTGTGAGATATTGCTCTGAGAAACAAATGGAACACGTCAGATGACATTGTACATGTATGTTCATCTGTAAGCATCTGCAGTCTACATTATGTACTTACCTTTAAATTGCTTTTGAGACAAGTAAGAGAATTGGTTTACTCCATATTGGGCAGATTGGTTTGATTTCCCAAGAGCTGAGTTCAGAAAGGCCTGTCTCTGTAGTGAACTCTGCATCGAGATAAAACGACATGTGACCAGAGGCATCTCGCATAACAGGTGAAACATGACACTTTTCCTCATGTGATTAACAGCACATGACAAAAAACTATTGGCATTACTGGTATTGTTTTATTTATTTATTTATTTACTTATTTATTTTAAATGTGTAACATAAACCCTAAACAATTTTTTAAATTGTAGTGTGATAAGGTAAGTATTCATAGTAGTTATAGCTTTAGTTGTTAGCAATTATTATAGCTTTAAATATAGCAAATACAAAACCTGAGTGGAGCCACTGAAGTGCAATGGGTGAAAGGCTATTTTCACTATGTATTAGTGGTCATATTTATGAGAAGATATAGATGAATTGTCAAATTTCTGATTTTAAAAGTCATGATTATGACATTCTAATTAAGAACTATTTCAATTCAATTCATCTTTATTTGTATAGCGCTTTTACAATGTAGAAAGAAGACTTAAAGTCACAGTTATAAGTCTAATAAGAAACAATTTAGATACATTTTTATTTAAACATTTTTCTCTAATATTAAAATTAATAAAAAGTTTCAATTATGAATGTAACAAGTTTGAGTTTAAAGGTCAAAATGATAGCATATTATATAGAAATTCTTAATTTATTAGTAGAAAACAAGACAGAACGTGTAATTACACCGACTGATAACAAATAATAATGACTATGAATAAAACTATGACTAAGTCATTATAATAACAATACTACTAAGTCTTAAAACGAAAAAGCAACATAAAAATATCATGTAAGTTATGAGACAAAGTTTAAGTTATTAAAAGTCAAGACTTACTGAGATTAATTTACATATTTGAAATAAGGTTAACTACATATAAATGTAGAAATTATGACATAGGAAGTCAACATTAACGTTAGATAGCCTAAAAAACGAAATCATTATTTTTATGTTAGCAGGCCTATGTAAAACAGAAAAAAACACTTTTTTGATAGTTTGACATACGACATCGTTTATAACGGCTAAAACGATATTTAGTTCACTCACACATTCTCCCCGAAGTGATTTTGTTTGAATGAGTTTTTGTTTTATTGCTGTAGCTTGTAAGTTTTTTTTTTTTTTTTTTTTGTATTAGTGTACTGTAAATACCTGGTAATTAATCCACCTCTGATAAAGTTCATTGTTTACATCTTGCTGAAATGTATCTGAGTGCTGAAGTCGCTCTCCCTCCGTCAGAGATTTTCTAATAACTTCGACGCTGATGATTCCAGTGAGCAGTTCTTGGTAAATTATCAAAACAATAAATGTTAAAGAATGCGCCATTTAAACGAAGACATTAAGCAAACGTATAGCAACTCCTTTAACAACACACTTCAGCGTCTTTCATTTCTGCTGTAGATCATTTCCCGGATCATCAACATCGGTGTTTCTCCTGCAGCAGACCAGAGTGTGCAGCGCTTTACTGCCATCTAGCGGCATCTGAAGGCATTACATGTGCCCGCCCTCAGATTAAAAACTATGCACCGAGGGAATCACAGTCAGAGGTTACCTTTAACTCAGTAAAATTCATTTAATAAAAAGTAAGCTAAATTATAATGAATTTAACATAATGACGTTTATAAGCCGTGAGTCATCAAATTAGTCACAAGTCATAAATTAAAGGTCACGCTTGTGTTACTCGTTATTACAAAAGCAGCCTAATGTTTTATTAACTGAATTAACTAACACACATAGTACAATGTAGGTTACTATGTAAATATATTCATTTATATCAACCACAGTTTTGTAATATAAAGATTAAATTTAAAGTGGTTTAAATCACACTGTAAATATCCACACAACTCCTTCATGTTGTCCCAACACAAATTAAGTTAACCTAATTGTTTTTACAAATTTAAGTGGATTAAAAATAAAATATTTTAGTTGTCCCAGCTCATTTTAAATAAGTAAACTGTAAAACTATTATTTGATCAATTAGTTCTGACAGCACATGTTTAATGTCATTGTAACTTACTAAACTAAGTTAATCATGTACTAACTTAATTTTATAAGTTACACAAGCTGTTTTAATGTAAGTTAATTGGACTCATAAGCGTAATTAGATTCAGGTTCGAAAATTGAGTCAACCAGGATTTTTTTACAATGTAGTTTAAAGCACCATTAAAAAGATTTTTCAGTGTAGCTCATAATAATAATAATTATTTTTTTTGTATTTACAGTAGGACACTTACAAAGAATATCTTCATGGAACACGATCTTTACTTAATGTCCTAATGATTTTTGTCGTTTAAAAATTACACTTTTTACTCATATACATTTTTATTACCATAAATCAGGGGTGTCAAACTAAGTTCCTGGAGGGCCGCAACCCAGCACAGTGTATGTAGTTCCCACCCTGCTTCAGCACACTTACCTGTAGGGTTTAAACAAGCCTGAAGGATCTCTTAAACTGTTAAAAAAAAAAAAAAAAAAAAAAAAGGTAGACTCAACTAAAAAATTTTAAGGCAGCAAACTTCAGGACATTTGAGTTGACTCAACTTTCAAACCAATTACTGCACTTGACTTCATTTAAGTTGAGTAAACTCAAAAGTGTCCTGAAGTTTGTTGCCTTAAAATTTTAAGTTGAGTTAACTTTTTTTTTTTACAGTGTAGTGAGTTTGATCAGGCGTGTTTATTTAGAGTTAAAGCTATGTTCAGAGTTTGACGCCTGTGCCATAAATGGGACACTATACACTCTCAGAAATAAAGGTTCAAGAGCTGTTACTGGGGTGGTACCTTTTCATAAGGTACACATTTGTAACTAAACAGATCCTTATTAATAACTCAAGGGTACATATTAATACCTAAAAAGTACAAAATTGTACCTCTTGAAATTATTAGTTACTAATATATAGTAAGGGACCATCCCAGTGAAAGTTGTCATAGCCTTATTTCTGAGAGTGTACCAGAAACGTACATTATCTCTCCCTGAAATGAAAACATAAATACAGTGAATAAAAAGTATTCCATCCCGAAACAATTCTAAAATGCAGATAGTTGATTTCTGAGAGTTGTTCTATAAAGGAATATGTCTTCATTTTGTTCTCAGTTTTTTTTTTTCTTTATTAAAAACACTTTACAAATGTACAAACCCGGTTATTGTCCTTGTCCTCAGCCCAATTGAAACTACAGCTTTAATAGTTTTGTTATGCTAAAAACTGTCATAATAAAAAAAACTTCAGAAATAGCATGTTTAAGTTGTTATCATTTACATCAATTGATTAAAAACATGAAATTATGAATAAATTCTATAAATAAATACTATTTTACAATTGTCCCCATGTTTTTGTCAGTCCTGTCACATTTGCATTCAATTCACAAAAAAATTGTGCAATATACCTTTAAGACTATGAGGTAGTGACATCATTTGATGGAGAAGCAGCTGACAATGATCAAGGATGATTTTATGATTTTAATATATGATATCATAAAATATGTGATTTTCATATGATTTTATGCGGGTTTTTGTATGATTTATCTGAAAAGAACAATCTTAAAGGTCAAGCTCTGTCACATTTTTTTTATTAGTGAAAATGTACGTTTCTGGTCGAATGTCCCAAAAAGTCTTGTGTATTTGGGTTTTGTTGTCCAGGGTCACACAGTATAGGCTGTATAAATAATACTAAAACAGCAATGATCCATGTTGCATTAATTTTAAACCTCACCCAAAGAATGAAAGCAGCACAGGCAATTCTGACAAGTTTAATGCTGAGGCAGTATGTAACATAGGTAGCCCGTTATCATGACCCACATAAAGCAGAGCCTTTACTCACTGAGTTTACTCAGAGCAGAGCTCCTGCCCAGTCCTGAACACAACTATATGACAAAAAACAAACCCGATGCAGAATCAGCAGCCCAGTAATGGTCACAATGTCACGACACCCACCCCCAAAAAACGAGAACGAAAAACAGACAGACACTCTTGTGCACGGACAAGATCCAGGAAAGACAAACTGTGCTAAGAGGCCACTTGAGAAAGAGAGAGATATATGAATTATTATATGCAAATACTGTATATATTCATATATGTTTATGTATATTAGGTCCCCTTGCTTGGAACTGATTAGTATTCGCCATAGGTATTCCATAGGATTTTCTTTAAATACATGTTTCAAACATTTTCATTCTATGTACAGAGAAATACTGTATATTTCTACGAGGAAGTAACGGTGATTTGTCGAGGAGTTTTCCAGTGCTATCAGACCAGCACTAATCGTGAAGCTGCAGCATTTTGAGCACATGAAGGACGAGTTTGTTCGCATCTGAGACGCCGTTTAGAGCTACAAAAAGCAGAGATACAAAGCAGACAGTCTTCAATAAAGGCTCAGTTTTCCCATCCAGCTTTTAAGACCGTCCAACAGAGAGTTTTCCCCATCTGGAACAATATTGGAACGCAAATTACATACATGAGACGACGGTTGAGACTACATTTGTAGAGAACTGAGAGAACCAACTATGAGGTACTTTCAACATCCGATGTCTTTTGAAAACGTCTTTCAAAGAGAGAAAAACAAGTGTAAAAGGAGGCTGATGATGTGCAATAGTCCAGTCACATCCGCTTGAGGCGATGAAAGTTCTACAGCGGTAGAGTTTATTCGCCAGAGTCAGTGTGTGTTCACTGTCAATTCTCCATTTTACACTCAGAAAGGTTGTTCCCCAAAGTCTGGGGTTTGGGAAGAGGATGATGGAGGAATGGGCTTAAGGTGTTGAGGTGCGTGTCCTCAGGATTTGTTGTCGTCGTACATGTCCAGAGACGCCTGGATGTCTGGAAGCTCCATCTCACAGACGACGCTGCGCGGAGACACAGAGTTACGGTTGAAGAAATGACCAGCTGAAAAACAGATAAACAGCACGTTATTGCTGATCAAAATACTTTTTGTGTATGAAATGAGAAAGATGAAAGGAAGGAAGGGAGGAATGGCAATTAAATATTTAATATTCTGCTGCTGCTGCTGGAGAATGAAAAAACTTGCATAAAGGCTGTGCTCAAAGCTGACATTTCATCTCAGTACAAAATCAATGTTGGTCTGTTTTGTGTAATCAACACTTATTATGCCCTTCACACCAGACCAATTAATTACCATCAACCTTCTCAGTGGAAATCAGAATGTGTTTGTGTAGGTGTTTTGTGAATAAACAGATGTAAGTGGATGTGATGGGCATATTTTTTGTCTATATTTTTCTATTTTATTTATTTTACACTAATAATAAATTAACTGTAAATAGAAGCACTTCAAGTGCTAGAACCTAAAGAACTTGTAATGGTTCTCTGGTGTTTCTTTGGGGTGGTAACTCCTGTTCTACTGCAGTGTTTCTCAACCACGTTCCTGGGGCACCACCACTCGGTACATTTTGCATGTCTCCTTCACCAAACACACCTGATGCAGATCATCAGCTCATTAGCTGAAAGACCTGTAATGGGTGTGAAAGATGAAGGAGACATCCAAAACATGCAGTACTGGTAATCCTCCATGAACGTGGTTGAGAAACACAGTGCTAAGGTACGTATCACTAAAAGTGGCTTGCAAACATAAGGGAACCACATAAAGTGCTATTTAGCACCGTAGTCTTTTTTTATTTATTTATTTATTTTTTTAACAGAGTTTAGAGCTACATACTGTAGCACCTTAATCACTACAAAGAACCAATGGAGCACCATTACATTTTATTGGCCATTTTGAGGGATGTAAACAAAAACAATTGTCCCAACGTATTTCCTGTTTTACATGTTTAATTTCTATAGTTTCCGAGAATCCAAAAAGCCACACATTGATAAGTAATGTTTTGATAGTTGTTTTAACATTAAGTTATGATTAAATTGCCTCTTGTTACAGTTATAAAATAGTTTGATAACTACCAGGGAATGTTCATGGGACAATGCCATGACCAAATTGAAATAGTCTATAGGTTCTGTACAACACTTAATTGGTTCACCTATTATTATGAGCTTTATGTACACGTAGATGAAGTCCTCATTTATAAGCTGTATAAACTGCAGGGTGTCAAAATAGATGTGTATAAGTGGATACACTGAATTATGTATCAATAAACAGCTTGCATGGGCCTATTTTTGGTGTCAATATCAAATTATGTTTCTATATGTGGACAGCAGATTAAATACAAACATCATGTTTGATGTTTTGTAAGAAAAATATGATGAAGTTATTTTGAAGAAGAATGGTTTTATTAGAGCATATAGCAGTCAGATGATAGACAGTACTTATTCAGCAGAATAAGTATGAATCCTTAACAGCTCAAACATTTTATAGGCCTGCAGTTTTACATCTTCCTGCCAAACTTATAAACCAGGTTTCACTTGAAATGTAAATGAATGTGATGCTCTTCAGTTCCCACATCTTTAGAAAAACAACCAAATGTTAAAGTGATAAGATGAAAAAAAATCTTCAGCAGTTATTTCAAGTGACCCTTGCTTGACCCGTTTGGTCAGCAGATGGTTCTTGATAACCTTCCGCCCTCCCATGCTTTAAGTGAAGAATCATCACTCAAGAGATTTGTTGGGAAGGGAGCATAGTTTAATACATAATTTATAAAATTTAAAAAATATTTGTAAAAAAAAAAAGTCAAAATATGAATGAAACACATTTTCACTGTCACTGAATTGTACGTCAAAATATGAATGATTATGAAAATAAACAAACTTTGTACTAATTAAAATAGGCGATTGATAATATGTCTTGACAAACATGAATAAGTCTTGATAATATGGCTGAAAAAAAAGGTAAATTATAAGTCAAAATATAAATTAATATGAAAATTAAACAACATACTTAATAAGAGCTGTACTTATTAAAGTTGGTGATAACACATCTTGCTGATGAATGGGTAAAACCTAGTGGTTTGAAGAAAATTTGTATAAAGTGTAAAAATGACAATTATTTGATCAACAAAACTTTGATCCTTTACGTTTTTGTAAATAAAATGCAACCTGTATGTAGATAAATCAACAAAAATCAATAACAACCAAAGTGTAATGTAAAGGAATTGAAATGTACAGGAGATTTTAATCCCCAAAAGCATGGTAAACTTGCATACAAATTACTTTTAATACATATATTAAGTGATAATGTGCATAGGTTAAATCACTTTTCTGACTTTAAAACTAGTTAATTTAGTTAGTGAATGCCTAATAATGTATATTACATCATAGAAGTATTCCCACATTAGCTCATCTGGATGCTTTTTAGGTTTTTATCTAAACTTTGCAGAAAAAAAGTGATTATTCTAGACTGAATTTGAACAGTCAAATAACCTTGAGTTACACAATCCTTAAAACAGTACACTGATACAAAACACAATCTGTCCTCATAGAAAGATACAGTATTTTTTAGTCCCCTTGGCTTGACTTACAGTAAAGCACTGAAATGTGCCTAAGTACCTCAATATCATGTGTCCAGTACACGTGATATGATGAAATAGGTTTGCTGGTCACCAAATAAACATTAGATTCAGAAGATTTAAAAATGTATCAAGGAGTAAAACTAGCACTAGTAACCATAAGCATATTCTATTATTCAGTACAACAAAGCCTTTTGCACAAAATATTTTTAATAAACACAAAAATATTAAATTTCACATTTGGCTTACAAAGGACTTTATAAAAGAACGCAAATATACATATTCAAGACATTTTTAGAGGAAAAATATTAGTCTAAGCTAAAAACAAAATAGTGCTTGTTAAATATTGCAAATGCAGAAGTATAGTTCATCAGCAGTCTCTGCCAGTGAAAAGCTATGAACATATTTACGTCTACAGAAGAAGTAAAACTTTGCTCTATTAGGACTACTAATGAGATCATGTGTAAGTGAACTTGAAGTGCAAGCAGCTTTCCGGGATGCATTTCTGTTTTTAGAAATCGGAGCTCCAGAAAACATCTTCATTCCAACATTGGCCTACAAGACATAAACACACACATGCAAATATTTAGCAAGACCTGCTGAAATCATGGAAATCTCATTATTCAAAATATTTATTTAAAGTGCCACTATTATGCCATTTTAAAGGTTCCTAATTTTGTTTATAGGACAACCCCTATAATGGGCTTACAGGAATTCAAGGTCAAAAAACTAATTCATTATTACATAACACAGCCTGCATCATCAGCTCTTTTCTCAAAGTGCCTGAAACAGTTTGTTCGAGGATTATACAAATGTGTTACAAACTTTTAAGCTTGTGCAGAGAGTAACACTGAAACACTATACTGATGACTATAGGCCCCATGGATTCTACAGATTTTTAGCCCACCATTGAGTCTATTTATTAGCTTGTGTTAATGCGTGTAAATTTATATTTATTCAGTTTTTAGTCAATAATTTCAGCAAAATTGACTAATAAACATTTTTATTTTATTTATTAACAATATAATTTGTAAAGTAACATTTTCTCTCTGTTAGTAGCAATTTTATATGAGAAACTTGTTTTGTTTAGCAAATATGTGGATCTAAACAGATTTTCATTAAATACAAGTTAAAAAGTTTTTTTTTTTCATTTATTTATTTAATATATTTAGTTTTTCAGTTAGGATACCCCTAAAATCATTTCCCATAAATCTGCAGATTTATTTTTTACTAATTTCTGCACAGAAATACACATTAACACAATATTCATATACAGTTTCCTTTGAGACACTATATATAAATGGGGCAATTTAACACATTTAGATAATATATACAAATTAGTGTCAATTATTACAATTATTTAGTGTTTACAGCTGCCACTAAGGCACTTATTATGCATTTACTATAAATAGAAGCTTGTTTTCCTAATTAATTAAAAACTAATTAGAAGTCTGAATTTATATCTCATAATTCTCAATAATTCTCACTTCCCTCTCACAATTGAGAGTTTGTAATTAACAGTTATGAGAATGTCACAATTCCAAACGTATATTTCACAATTCTGATGTCACAATTTTTATCTAGCAATTATTTATTGTTTTTACCTCACAATTCAAAGTATTTAAGAAGTATATATATATATATATATATATATATATATATATATATATATATTGTTTAATGGAATGTCATTTCGCAGGGTTATAGGTTACTCACCCTTTACTTGTTCCAAACCAGTTTGACATTCTTTCTTCTGTTTACCACAATTGAAGATATTTTGAAAAATGCTGGAGAGCTGTAACCATTGATTTCCATAATATTCATTTTATATTAGGATGTCATGATGGTGCAGTGGGTAGCACAATTGCCTCACAGCAAGAAGTCACTGGTTCGAGCCTCAGCTGGGTCAGTTGGCATTTCTGTGTGAAGTTTGCATGTTCAGATTTCCCCCACAACTCCAAAGACATGTGGTATAGGTGAACTGGGTAAGCTAAATTGTCCATAGTGTATGTGTGTGAATGAGTGTGTATGGATGTTTCCCAGTGATGGGTTGCAGCTGGAAGGGCATCCGCTGCGTAAAACATATGCTGGCGTTTCATTGTGGTGACCCCTGATTAATAAAGATACTAAGCCGAAGGGAAAATGAATGAATGACTGAACGAATGAATGCTTTATATTACTATGGAAGTCAATGGTTACAGGTTTTCAGCTTTCTTCAAAATATCTTCTTGTGTGAACAGAAGAAGGAAACCTAAAGGTTTGAAACCACATGAGGGAGAGTAAATAGTCATCTAATTTTAATTTTTGGGTGAACTATCCCATTAAGTCAGAATAATTATTCAATTGACACATGGTTATACTGCAGAGAGGACAACTAGGTTCTAAGTTGCAATGGTCTGTAAGTCACAATTTGCATAAAATAATTGTCTGCCACTAGCCCTAAATGTTCATTATAAACATTATGAAGTGTATTTT